CCATTGTGTCTATATCCCCACGGCAGGAAGGAGAAGGGAGGAGTACAGCCTACACCCCTGGGCTGGAAGGATTTCCCTGCAGGTCTGTGCCCCCACACGTGGCCCAGAGTGGCTGCTGTAGCACCGGCCATTGTGTCTATATCCCTGTGGCAGGAAGGAGAAGGGAGGAGTACAGAGTACACCCCTGGGCTGGAAGGATTTCCCTGCAGGTCTATGCCCCCACACGTGGCCCAGAGTGGCTGCTGTTGCACCGACCATCATGTATACATCCCCACAGCAGGAAGGAGAAGGGAGGACTACAGTGTACACCCCTGGGCTGGAAAGATTTCCCTGCAGGTCTGTGCCCCCACGTGGCCCAGAGTGGCTGCTGTAGCACCAGCCATTGTGTATACATCCCCACAGCAGAAAGGAGAAGGGAGGAGTACAGCCTCCACCCCTGGGCTGGAAGGATTTCCCTGCAGGTCTGTGCCCCCACACATGGCCCAGAGTGGCTGCTGTAGCACCGACCATCGTGTATACATCCCCACAGCAGAAAGGAGAAGGGAGGAGTACAGCCTCCACCCCTGGGCTGGAAGGATTTCCCTGCAGGTCTGTGCCCCCACACATGGCCCAGAGTGGCTGCTGTAGCACCGACCATCGTGTATACATCCCCATGGCAGGAAGGAGAAGGGAGGAGTACAGTGTACACCCCTGGGCTGGAAGGATTTCCCTGCAGGTCTGTGCCCCCACACTCACCTGCTTGCACAGTCTTGTCTGGGACCCCAGCGAACTCCCCACCACTGGCTTTCCCTTCCAGCATGGGTCTCAGCGCCATGCCCTCGAACATGACTTCTGCCCCGTCAGCGTTCCATAGGCACCAGGACGACCCGGCCGCAGAGCGTGCATTTGCTTCCCCGCAGGCTGCACGGGTGCACTGGCCCGAGAGCTGGCCCGCGAGTACCCTCGTCTCCAGGTGACTGTGTTTGACCTCCCGGACGTCGTCGAGCTGGCCGTCCACTTCCAGCCCGCCGGACCGCAGATCCACTTCGCAGCAGGTGAGCCTTCCTCGCGTTCGCCCTGCCAACGTTTTCCAGGCTCCGTCATCTCTTTCCAGACAGAGTGCGTGGCTGTGTGTGTACCCGTGTTTCTGCGTGGGCGCTTCCATGGTGGGTGTCTGTGTGCATACATGACTGTGTGCTGTGCTTGTGTGTGTGCATCTGTCTGCGTGTGTGTGTGGTATGCCCTTGAGCGTGTCTGTGCGTGAGAACATGTGTGTGCGTGTGTGTCTGCATCCACACATGTGTCTGTACGTCTCTGGTGTGTGGTTGCATATGTTTCTGTGAGAGGTTGTGTGTGTGTGTGGATATATGTGTGCATGTCTGTGTGTCTGCGTCTGTGTGCATGTTGTGTGCCGATGGGTGTGTGTATATATGACTGCTGGGGTTGTGTGTGCATGTGTGTCTCTGTATGCATGTCTGTGTGTCTGCATCGGTGTGCATGGGGTGTCTGTGGGTGTCTGTGTGCATATGTGATGGCTGTGCTT